TAGAGGTTGGATCGTGCGATAGGCAGCCAATCTTTAGAAACCAGAGCTGCTCTCGCCAGGTCTCTAGTGCATAGCTCTAGAGCCATCTCGTACAGGACGTCCGCGTTCAGTCTTGGAAGACGTCTCTGCTGCACCCCTTTCTTCTGAGTCTAATGGTACATAGTTGGCTAGAAGAGGTGTCAGTACGCCAGTGGCTGTTGGTCTCTAACACCCACCGGGGACCGCACTTCGCAGATAACGGAGCTGAAAGACAGAGCTAAGTGCTTGCGCTTAGGTCTCGTCGTTCCTACATAGGTATTAAGCAAAGCGAGGTGACTCAGGTAAAATACGCGATACCCGCCCAGAGAAGAGGCGCCGACAATCGTAACTTACGCGGTAGACACGACGGCACACTCCCGTCACGTCCACAAACTCGACCTTGCCGCCATTCTCGCGCAGCAGAACTCCCAAGTCGACTTGCACGCTGAAGCCTAAGAGACCTCAACGCGCGATTTTCTCCAAGCTGTCTCGCATCATGCGAAGAATGCACGTACAGAGAACACGTGCAGGAAGACCACACACTTGACCCAGAAGAGGATCACAGGAAAACACTCAGCCACTAAAACGAGACGCATGCATTCACGGTCGGGGAGCTTGCGCTTATTGCGGGTAAGTAATGGCGCATATAGTCATGCCGGGGTGGTGTTCAATACATGCGAATCTAGGGTGAGAGGGGCAAAAAGAAGCGAGGCCTACAGTCGCATCCAGTATGTCTCCACAGTACGTCCATCTCTTCTACGTACGTCTAGTCTAATATTCCCCCCGGAAGAGAGCGAGAGCGCGCGTTGTTGAATGCACACGCGTCATCTAGATGTTCCCCGAGCCCGCTGAAGTTTGCCGCCGCCGCCTCATTAGAGGCATCGATAAAGACAAGTTCATTATCCGCCTCATGCGCGCCGACCTTGCACGAGGTCAGTACTGTGGCTATTGTTTCCAGCGACAACTACGAAGGCGCATTTTTGGTCCGTATTCATGTGCGCTGGACTGGCTAACATCCTCGACGACTTCGATAGCATGCGAGGCGCGTATGCATTTAATCAAGAGCCCCAAACAGATTAGACAAGTTGGTGTTAAGATAATTTATAGGGTACGTGAGCTAATTCTTCTTGAGTATGACTTGACTAATGGCGACTGCAGGACATAGCATGTATATTAATCTTCAATCGATACCCACCTGTATCCAATGGTTACGTGGGTATGTGACAAGAGTGCTGACCCATTGTGATACTATCTGGCGCTCACAGCCGCCCCCGACGTGAATGCATGCATGATCCTCGCACGTTCCGTTCAAGTTGCCGCTGGCAGGGAAGATCTGGTGCTAGCAGGGAAAATACGTGAGAGCGTGTGGCAGCACTACACCAGAAAGGTAGGCTGTACACCACCTACTCCTGGCACCCTTGCTCTCTGCTCTCGCCTATTCAGCTGTACTCGAGGCTCGTCACAAAAGTGTCGATGAAAGAACGCCTCCTGGAACCTATAAATGTCGATTATACTATCTATCTACCGTTCTTTTTACACACATTGCTAAAAATAGATTGTGGTAGTGAGAACTCTATCTTCTGCATTCCACGAACGCGGAGCATTCGTGGAGTAATCTTGTCTTCCGCAGCCCACGAGAAGGAAGAACATGTGAGTTCTTGCGACATCGGCTGTGAACGTGAACTGACATAACGCTATACCGATGGCTGTGCTAGCCAGGAAGATACTATATATCTGCTGTGGGAATAGCAAAGCGTCAGCCCATCGATCTCCTTTCTGTCTCATCGCATGTTGACTTCTTGCCCAGCTGTCGACTACGCGGAGCAACTCGTTGGCCGAGGGCATGGACTACCTCTTTGGTACCCGGAGCCCACGGAGGGGTCGTTTGGCGAGGTCGAGATCGGGGACGTCGGATACGTGAGTGAGGGAGCGTTCATCCGGCTCTTCAACGCTCTTCATCCTGCGGACCATCCCATCAATGTGCACGGTGTGCCCGAAGGATTCGTCATGCTAGAACCTAACCCATCCCTTCTACGATCCGACAAACAGCACATATCTCCCGGCCCGATCTGCACAGCAACGACCTCCTACCGAGAAGTGACCGCAGAGGTGGAGGGATCCAAGTGAGTATATCTTCTGCTACCTCGTCTGAGATGACTGACCTCTTGCGCAGCATCGTTGGAGCTTCTTATAAGTTCAGTTGCAACAGCAGCTGCGGCGCCGTCGCTGTGCTAGGCAACAGTGGACATC